CACACACACACACACACACACACACACAACACACACACAAATACACACACACACACAAACACACACACACACACACGCAGGCACGCACACGCACACAGGCATAACATGGACTCACCTCGAGGCAGAGCGCCCTTTTGGGTGTCTAGAGTCGAAGGGATCCAACCCACGGACCAACCGCCTCTCACACCTCATCCACCAACAGCGTCCTCCCAAGTAGAAGGCAGGTGTCGACATGCAACAGCGTGCTGACCCAGTGTGAGAAGGGAGGGGGGGGCGCTCGGGGCGCTATACGTAGGCGTGCGGGCCTGTGCGCCTGTGCCCGTCTGTGCGATTGTGGGCCTGTGCGTATGTGCGTACGTACATCCGTGTCTGGCAGTTCTCGCATGCGCTTGAGTGGACGGGTGCATGCGTGTCTGCATGGATGGGTGCACGCGGGCGCGGTACGTTTGACCATAGATCTTCAGCCCAAACGACAGCGATGCAATGTTCTATAGCGTGAGGCAAACCGGAATGCCAAACCCGGATATCGGGTCCTGCCCGCATACCGGAGGACCCGCTCTACCGTTTTCGCCGAGGGAAAGTTGTGCGCAAGGAAAATATCCGTTGCACCCGGTCATGCCCCCGGAAAAGGCCCTTCCAGTTGTGCCCAAGGCATAGGCCATCCAAATTTGGCTTGTGCCCACGTGGCTGGCTGCACACAAGTGGAGCAACCAATGGGCCTAGCTGCACTACACTAGACTCCTGAAAAAGTTCAACCTTCGTTCAAGAGTTGTCAGACTGATGTGTGTCATGAGGGGGGCGTGGCAATCGGCGCATGAGCGCTCCAAGTTAGCGCTACCAGCAGAAGGGCCGGTTTGGACCAACACTGTGTTTGCACCACCATGATGCCATCACATTAGCAGAGTCATCTCGCTCGGCAATTACCGAGCAACCAACCCAGGGGGAGGGGAGATGTGACGACGCATGGTTCAACCCATCCATGATTAAGTCAACGATTATCAACGGGTACGAGAGAATAGACGTGGTGAAGTAAGTAGTCGTGTGTAGAGGTTTTTGGGCACACGCCGACCTAGCGCTCGCCTTTGAAGTGAAGAAGCTATTACTAGAGTTTTAGGGAAGTGAAGATAATGACGGATCAAGTGGAGAGAGAGATTAATCAGGCGCCGTCAAAACAAAGGGAGGAAAGAGGTCCCCCATGAACAGAGGTTCAGCTGACAAAAGAGGACCGCATAAGAATCCTTATAGCCAAATGTTATGAGGATGGTGTGTTTCCAAAGCGGTTGAAGCATGGAGAATTCGTCGTCGAAAACGACATCGGAGTGTTTAAAGTTAACTCGCAGATTGACCGCCTCACCACGGTCTGGCTGAAGGAACGGATAGTCATGGTAATTGTTCAAGGATCAGTGAGGGATCTGTCGGGCCAATGAAGACGGGTGACTTCGACATGAAACGTTACAAAAAGGCTTCAAACGGGGCAGGGTGCATGGAAAAGGTCCTAACGTGATGTCATACGTGGCGAAATCAAGAGAAGAGGCACAATGGTCGGTTGCAAAGGCAGAAGATGTGGTGGTGATAAGAGGTATAGAGTATAGAGTAGTAAGGTACTCTTCAAACCATGGATGACCAAAGCCGAGTCGTCCGCACGAAGATCGAGGGGGGGAACGACGATTTCGGTACACAAGAGATTGGATGCGGAGTTGATTGACTATGATGTCGACCTATGGGGGAGATGGGCATGGCTTAAACTTTAGTATGAGAGCTTGCTGGTGGTGTTAGCAATGGTATATGCACCAAATAAACCCAAGGAGAGGATGAAATTCATGAAGGTTTTACCATATTGCCTTCCAAGGGAGGAACATATGGTGGTGGGCGAAAACTGGAACCTTGAAAGCAATTCGGGCTTGTACTCAGAAGTAGAGGAGGGTATGCAAAAGGATAGGGAGGCATTCCTAAGATGGAAGGACATCTGGGGCCCTCCATGATATCTTCAGGGAGATGTATCCCACCGTGTCAGGCTACATTTGGTTTGGAAGCACGTCAAGTGCAGTTGGAGCGAAGCGACGCTTGAACTTCTTCCTTACATCCGATATCTTTTCGGCAGCAGCACAACGGGTTGAGAAATCAAATGCCTCGTTATCAGATCACAAACCAGTGCTCATGGAAGTACAATTGTTGGCACATAACAAGAGAGGTCCTGGTCACTTCAAGTTGAATGTTCATAATTTGGAAGACAATGGATGACGAATGTGGGTGAAGAATTTTTGGACAGGTTGGCAGGAGGCAAAGGGGAGCTTCAAAAAGTATCATGATTCATGGGACGCAGGCCTACACATTATCTCAGAGAAATTTAATGTATTTTCGAGGATCGCAACCTTCCTGAGAAACAAGGAAGAGGCGGATTGTCAAAGAAGAGTGGATGAGGCTGAAAAACATACGGGGAGGCCCCCAGTCCCGGACTGGGTTTGGGCAGAAAAGCGAGCTGCCAGATTGAATGTGTGGGAACATCTACAAGTATAAAAACAGGGGAGATGGCAGGAGATTTTGAAGGAAAAGGGGATGGTCAACAATGATAGGATGTCAAAAGAGACATTCAAGCAGCTCCTACCGAAACAAAGCATGTGCAAATGAAGGAGTTGCAACACTCACCTCCTCAACAAACCACTAACAATCATTAACGAGGAAATGCGTGAATATGTTGTAGAGTACTTCAGGGACATTCCAGGGAGCCGCAAGCCATATTGGGGTCGGAACACAGACCTGACGCACGAAAACGACTTTTGGGGCACACTTCAGACAAGACTCCCGGAGAGTGGCTAGCTTGAGTTGGACAGACCAATCACAGAGGAGAAGCTCAAACAGACGCTTAAAACGATGGTGAAGGGGAAAGCCCTAAGAGATGACGACCTCCCACTGCAATTTTTTCAAATTTGTTGGCAGGACTTGGAAGTAGATGTAATTAAGCTTTACAATGGGATTCTAACGGGGGGACCCTAGGGAGATGGATGACCAAGGGTGTCATCTCACTGCTTTATAAGAAAGGTGACTGCAGCAACACTCGAAACTGGAAACCAATATCTCTACTCAATGTGATTTATAAAATCATGGTTAAGACATTGATGCTCAGGCTGGGGAAATTCCTTCCGCTGCTGGTGGGCAAAGACCAGGGCGTGTTCGTCCAGGGACGATCGATTTTTGAAAATATTTTGACTGCTATCGAATCCCTGGAGATCATTGCGAAAGCGAATATGGATGTTGCGGTGCTGTTGATAGACGTTGAGAAGGCCTATGACAGCGTCAGCTGAACCTTCGTCATGTCAACCTTGAGGACTACGCAATTCGGAGAGTCATTATGCCGATGGATAAAGATACTATATGCCTTCCCAACGGCGGTGGTGGAGATCAATGGGGTGAGCTCGGAGGAAATCCAACTCACTCACTTACTGCAGCAAGGCTGCCCCCTGACACCATTGTTGTTCGTTCTTCAATTTGAAGTTTTACTTTCCTCAATCATATCCAATCCGAGAATCAAAGGACTATAACTGAGGGGGGGAGAAGAATATTGGGTGAAGGCACTAGCAGATGATCTCTTCGCCTTATCGACCAATACAACGGACTCATTGGAAGCACTGAAGGGATGCCTCAGCAATATGTAGAACTCTCCGAAGCTGCAATAAACAGAATAAGTTATTTTCCTTCTTATTGAAGGACTTTCAGTTCCAGGCGCAGTGGGGCATGCAGAGGGTACAAGTGGGAGAAGCACAACGATTATTTTTCTTCTTATCGAAGGACTTTCAGTTCCAGGCGAAGTGCGGCATGCAAAGGGTACCTGTGGAAGAAGCACAACGATTCCTGGGGGTGCTAATAGCCCTTGGGGACTCGACCTCGTCTCAAAATCTTATTATGCAGGAACTGGTGGTAACAAGAATCAACAGTTGGGGAAGAGCCTCGCAACTTTCGTTACTTGGGAGGGTACTGGTAGTCATGGTATCAGCGTCCTTCCTATTGTGGTATGTGCTGAGGATGTTCAAACTTTCTGATGCCACTCTCAAAGCCATCCGAGCAGCGACTCGCTACTTCCTCTTGAAGCCAAACGCAGACCATAATCAAGGTTACATTGTAAAGATAGTGTGAGAGCGTTGTATGCAGCAAGAGAAGATGATGGTTTGGTAATGACAAACCCAGGGGCATAGAACCCGGTGCAACTATCCAACTGGCTAATAAAAGTGGTTGAAGCACCGTCACCTCCGGATTGGTGCCACATGGCAGAGCAAATCCTGATGGAGGAATGAGGGTTGACCCGCCCGTCTGACATATGGATTACAACAATGATAGGCTCCTTCATGAACAAGCGGATTAAAGTCCACATTTTGGAACAGCGTGCTGCAGGCATGGAAATAAGTGAAGCCTGATTACCGGGAGCAACCCAACTCTGAAAAGGAGGTCGAAGCACAACCTTTGTTTGACAACATTTTCATAGTAGACCAAGAGGGCTCAGTCTTCTCAACGACAGTTGCGACAGGGTCCTTCGAGCGGAGACTTGAATGGGTTCGAAAGGGAGTGACCACAATCAATGATCTTTGGAACGACATAACTAATCAATGGCATTCGGCAGTGTACCTGAGAGAAAAACTAGGACTTTTGCCAACATAGGAAGAAAGGATCCAACAGTTGATCCAATCGATCCCAGCTAGCTGGAAAGAAACGTTGGGCCCTGAGGGTGTAAACCCTCCTGGTACCTGGTACCACGGCACAGTGAACAAGGAGAAGGGCAAATTTTACCGGCTGTTGAGCTGGGAAGACGACGGGAGCAGGAAATGCAACTTGCATGAATACACCACAACAGAGTCAGCGACAACTACACAAATCCGGATAAACTCAACTAGTCAACGGGGAGTTTGTGGCCTGTAGGAGGTAAGGGTGAGAGTACGCCCAACAGGTCGTAGGCAGGCTCCGGTGACGTACAATATAGTGCCAGGTGGTGAGCCCATAAATACTCTCACAATTAATCCCAAGATGTGGGGTTGGAAGGTGGGAAACAAGGTAATGAAGGATCAGAGTAACTTAAGTTCCGTCCTGATCACAAGGAAACGCGGCCTAAAAAAAGGAGTTGCTACACAGAATAACTCTAATTGTTTTCCCCTTTGTCATAATCTTGTTTGTTTTTCCTTTCCTTTGTGATTGTTTTTCTCTCATACAATTTTTCTCCATGATCTTTTAGTTTTTCCCCGTTTTTTTTTTTCTCATTTTTTACACGGTTTGAAAACCATACAAATTGGATTGTTGCATGGGACGTCGATACATAGTTCACGTCGAGATTTGATCACACACCACATTCATACCTTTG